TAAACTGGCCTTTACTAAAAACGTCCTCAATCTGAGGGGTCGACCTCAGCGAACGTACCCCCACTTCTTCTAACGCCACTTCTTCGGCCCAGGCCGAAAAACGACTTCTGCGCATGGGCCACAAAGTTTCATTCGCACTGTACATGCGCGGCCGCATGTGGTATTTTGTGGAAGAGCCACACTCAAGGGGTCAAAGAGCTGCATGTGGCTCCTGAGCCGTGGTTTGCCGACCACTGTACTAGATTGAACTATACTAAACAATTTATTGGTATATTTGGGCAGAGTAACTTATTTGGCTAGAATTGGGTAATATCTATCCAATAGATTCGACCTCACACTCAGGATGTTACTTTCCATAAATAAAGTTTCTTTAAAAAAAAAGAAAAAGTGTTTTTATTGATTTCAGAGAGCAAATGAGAGGGAGAGATTGAAACATCAATGATGAGAGAATCACTGATCAGCTGCTTCCTACACACGCCTCACTGGGAATGGAGCCCTCAACTCAGGCATGTACCTTGATTGGGAATTGAACCGTAATCTCCTGGTTCATAGGTTGATGTTCAACCACTGAGCCACACCAGCCAGGCTAAAGTTACTTTTTCATAGATTAAAAAACTGCTTGCCAATACAATTTCAGAATCATACAAATTACTAACTACTTACCACAGAATTTTGCAAAGAGCTCTAAGGTTAGGATTTAGTATCAATTACAATGAAGTAGAAGCAGGCAAAATACAATAGATTAAACTGAAAAAAATTACAAGTGAGGTACCTGAAAAACAGCTAAAATGAGATCAATGTGAAGCTATTTCAACATTAACATCTACAAGAAATATATACTCTGGCTTTTCCAATATTTTCCAGTTTTCAAAAACTCCCTTGCCCTCATACTAGTATCTTCGAAATGCCAATTTTTTTCTTAGTTTATTGTTTTATTGATTGTTTAGAGAGAGAAGAAGGGAAAGGAAGAGAGAAACATCGATGTGGGAGACAAAAACATCGATCGGCTGCCTCCTATATGCCCCTACTGGGGATAGAGCCCACAGCTCGGGCATGTGCCCTGACTGGGAATCAAACTGGCGACTTTTTGGCCCATGGGATGGCATTCAACCAACTGAGCCATACTGGCTAGGGCAGAAATGCCAACTTTTGGCATCCAGAGGGCCCTGAAAGGAACATAATCCTTTGTCAGACTAGGCATCTAATACGTTTTATTTGGAAAATGTCATTCCATTTATATGCTATGCAAAATTCTCAGATTAGAGTTTGTCCCTGGGTTAAATTCCATCCTACTCCATGTTAAATCAATGTTTGTAACAAACCTGATATGACAAATAATCAGAGAAAGCTCCTCCCAATGAATTTATAAGTATGCTCTAAGGATACTTCGTAGAGAATAGGGTAATACATAAATTGGATTCAGAGGCTACTAGTATTATGATTCAAAACCATTTGCTGGCATTTTTGATAACTGCAAAATGAAATGTGGAGTTATTTCAATTTGCCTATATTCTAATCTAAATGAACTCATACAAAATCAATTTAAGCTGTAGTACAGTCTGTAAGTAACAAATATTTAAATAGAAAACAGCTAATTGACAGGATCTAATCCTCTGAAATCCCTTTAAAAAAATATTTTAAAATAAAATCATCTAAGATATATCTAGTTCTAAAAGTCTTTGATTTCTGCCTGGCCAGTGTTGCTAAGTGGTTGAGCATCAATCCATGAACCATGAGGTCATAGTTTGATTTCTGGTCTGGGCACATGCCCAGGTTGCAGGCTTGATCCCCAGTTGGGGGTGAGCAGGAGGCAGCCGATTGTTGTTTCTTTCTCACAGATGTTTCGATCTCTCTATCCCTCTCCCTTCTACTCTAAAATCAATAAAAATAAATAAGTCTTTGATTTCTAAGTGTGTAGAGCTGACTGAGGCAACTAAGTATAGTAGCAAGTAGAGAATACCAGGAATCAAAGCCCATGGTTTTAGCTTATATCTAACAAACCACTTTTGGGAGTTATGGACGTAATACCTGACCTGCTTACCTCAAGAATTAAATAACTTTTATGAATGTACCTTGGCCAATTATAAAGCACTATACAAATTTAAAGTGTTACCTGTCGACGACAACCCACAACATATCTTGGTCCATTTGTAGCTTTAACAATGACTAGAGAAAAGAAAATGAAAGAAAACATTTAAAAAATAGCAAGAAAGATGAAATATACCCACACCGATGTCAGGTTGAGTTTTATTTCTGTCCTCCAAGAAGACAATACATAGTTGAAAGAAAATTAAGTCTATGCAAGAATAGCATCTACCTTCACTATTGTGAATAATAAGCATTATAAGCATTTCAAAAGTTGGTGGGGGAGGGTCCACTCTTTTTCTTATTAATTAGCAATGTAATCCACTTACATTTTTCTTCAGTTAACTGCTTTAGTACTTCACCCACAATCTAAGAAAGAAAAAAGAAAGCATTATCTTTAGCCAACAGCTTAAAAACAAAGCAATTATCTTCACCCCTTACACCACAAACTCCATTACCTACCTGCCCAACACTTTGTAGGGCCTTCAGATCATTTTCAGACTTTTCATACTGCTTGGTAAGTTCTTTTAATTGTTCCCTTACTGAAATCATATAATTTGAACATTTTTAATTAAAAATAACCTTAGTGGGTTTAAGTTACTAAGTCTCACTTTACTTAAGTTTACTTGTCTATTTCATTTTACATATATTTCACATCCAATATATCAAAGCACAAAAGAAATAACGCTGTTTATAGGTGACACGTTTAAACATGAAATGTTACAGAGAAAGCATCATTTTTTTTGATCGGCAATACATTTTAGGCTACACTCTAAAGCAGAGGTTCTCAACCTTCCTAATGCCGCGACCCTTCAATACAGTTCCTCATGTTGTGGTGACCCCCAACCATAACATTATTTTCGTTGCTACTTCATCACTGTGATTTTGTTACTGTTATGAATCGTAATGTAAATATCTGATATGCAGGATGTATTTTCATTGTTACAAACTGAACATAAGTAAAGCACAGTGATTAATCACAAACACAATATGTAATTATATGTGTTTTCCGATGGTCTCAGGCGACCCCTGTGAAAGGGTCGTTCGACCCCCAAAGGGGTCGAGACCCACAGGTTGAGAACCGCTGCTCTAGAGCGATGCTGGCACTGTGACACTTCCGGATTTGCCACTACAAATCCAAACGACACAAGTTAGACCCTCCCTCGCCTCTTCCCCTGCTCACACGGGTTATTATGACTGCTCTCTGGCTTTCTACCTTAAAGAAGGGCAACAGGTTTGGCGCTCCGCAGAAGTAGATGGCATGAAGGTGCACTATTAAAAACCTACAAGCGGCCTTTTAGCTCAAGAGTTAAGGGAAACTCGTGTGCCTGGCCGGGTACCACTCCAAGCACGGAAAAGACGAGGTTACTGTGACGGCGGCCTCGCCCTCAAGCCCCTCGCCGGCTTTCCACTCCACGAACACTCAGCTACCCGAGCGTCGTCTCCTGCTGCAGCAGGTCCCTGAGCCCCGTCTCTCCCTTTCGGGGCCGGGCCCGCGCCAACCCTGCCCACCCTGCACCCACGCCGGGCAGCACCTTGGCCCACTTCCCCTCGGCCCCTCCCGCCCCCTTCCACACCATCTCGGAGCTGGAAATGCTCTTTCTGTCCCCAGGACCAGAACGGGCCACGTCCCGGCCCGTGGACGCTCCGCTTCCCAACCGTGGGGCGCGAT